ACTGGAGTTTAATAAGAGAAACATTGTTATTATTGACCAGATTTAGCAAGGAGAAGGATGTTAATAACCTTGGTAAGAGCAATTCACTGAACTATGGAGAAAACAAGATTGCAGCAGGTGAGTGAGTGAAAAAGAGGTGAGGTGAGGAAGTAGAGGTGAGTGTAGCAGCTTTTTAAAGGAGCTTTGACTTTAAGAAGATGGAGAAAAAAGGACAGAAAGGGGTGAGTGTCTGCTTTGCTATTTTCTTTGTTTTTTAGATGTAAAATATTTGAGTATATTCGTGTCTATGGAAAGGAATAGATAGGGAAGGGCTGGCTCTGTGGCTGGGAGATTGATGAAGTGGGAATCTTAGGTGGGCACTAGTAGAGAGATTACTTTGGGGCAGGGGACAGCTATTCTGTGACCAGAAGGAAGGGGAAGCAACATAGGTGGTGCTGCAGGAAGGTCCTGAGGATCCATTCTGGAGGCAGACTGTCGAGGGCGCTGTTGTAGGGGATGGTTTTGCTCACCCTGTGAATAGGAGCTGAGCTTATCTCGGTGGCTGACAAGGTGTTGGCAAGTCTGCTGGTGGATCATGTGATAATGTATGTGATTTGCCAGCTTTTCCTGAACAAGAAAACAAGTCTCTGGTCTAGGTAATTGGCTGGAGCATACACATGGCCCAGATTTTGGTTGTTAGCTTTAGAAATGTGAAATGAAGAGACACAGTGAGAGAGCACCTAGCACAGGCCTTGGTACACAGAGGCTGTGCAGTGAGGGTTTAGGGAATACGCAGATGTTCTTGGAACACTTCCTGTACATGTGGACTGTCATTTCAAACTTGTTTTACTGTTTACATAGCTCATTTTCTTCTCGGAAAATTTGCTTTTGTTGGGGGAAAAAAAAAACTTTCTCAATAATCATAGCCTTGTGAACCATAACAGGGCAGGTACTGTTAGCTTATTTTGGGCATTTGGCAGTGTCTCCAGGAATAGCACGAATATGCTACCAAGAACTGGGTTATACTATTGCTAATGGGAACAGTGTGTCTCCATGACTGTGTAATGAATTCAGCTTTTCTTCTAACTGGAAACTAAGTTGTGAACAGACTTGGCAAGGTACAGGTCATAGTAGACAAGTTTTTAAAAGATCTTTTAAAAAATATTTCAGTTTCTGCAGAAAAACTAGATTACATCCTAGAGGGAAGAATGTTGTTTAAATTATGATTTTTCATAATTTCACGACTACTTTCTTTGTTCATTCTGCAGAGGAAGTTGAGTATTTGACACACTGTTTTCTCCCAGTGAGAGGAGAACATGAGTGGCTTTGTCTCCCCTGCACATTTTGCAGGGAGCCTCCCGAGGTTTGCCCCACCTTACCTGTAGAGATTGCCCTGCTGTATATTTACAATGCCACAGAGGTCTTCGTAGAACACTAAATTCCATTCATGTCTTGGAGAAAGAGAAAGACGGTGATCAGGCTTGAAAGCACAGAGATAGCACTGTGCGTGCTAAGTCATTTCAGTCCTGTCTGACTGTGACCCTTTGCACTGTAGCCCACCAGGCTGCTCTGCTCATGGGATTCTCCAGGCAAGAATACTGCAGTGGGTTGCTATACCCTCCTCCAGAGGATCTTCCCCACCCAAGGATTGAACTTGTGTCTCTTACTTCTCCTGCATTGGCAGGCGGGTTCTTTACCACTAATGCCATCTGGGGAGTACTGGTGACTGACTGAAGTGACAGTCAGAGTAACATCTAGGCTGTATCCAGCAGTGCATGGTACTCCCTGTTGTCTCCCAACCCCATCCATCTTTGCCTGAGTGGATGTCTTTGTGCATTCTCCTGGGGGAGCTCAGAGGGGGAAAGTGGAGGACAGATCTAAAAATGTCCCTGTGACTAGCTAGGTGTGTCCAGCATAACTTCAGCTGTTGCCAAGCAGTCTTCTAACACAGGTCCTTTTGGCTCAGGAAATAAACCAAGCTCTGTGGGATTGCTTGGTGAGGTCCCTGGTGGCGGGTGTGGACAGCATCACCAACAGAGAGAACTTGTATTGGTATATGGGGTGATTTATGTGATGAAAGCTGAGCTTGCCACCTAATTTAAACTGCAGTAAGCTGTAGACCAAAACTGTCTTGGCTTCCTTCCATGCATGACTGGTGCCTTTCTGTGTGTTTGTGTCTGTCTGTGTGCGGAGTCGGGTGGATTTAAGCTGAAATGTAAGTGAAAGTGGAGGCTTCAAATAGCAATGCTGACTTGATGACTGGACATCTTTCTCCTGGCTGTACGTTGTTACTTCACACCTTGTGACTTCTTCCCTTTCTCTCTATAGTCCTTTTCTTGTTAACAGTCGGTTCTTCAGTGAGGCCTGTATTTAATTAGCTGCTATATTATAGCAAGACAAGTAGGTATTACTGAAAGCACCACCTAAAGAACCATGGTTCCTTGACATTTGTAGGTGTTGAGTGACTCCCTGCCCACTTAGCTTGGGTTACAAGGTTCTAAATAAGGCACTTCACAGAGAATTTTGGGCTCCCACCTAAATGATAAAGAAGTTTCTACTTGGGAGTTGCCTGCACCTGGGCCCAAAAGTCATCATTAGCTCAGTTTTGGAATTTAATATTGTTTTTGGATCAGCTTATTTTATTTCACCCCAAATATTTGAAAGGTAATTCAGAAGTACATTTTAAATTTAAACTGAAATTCTCAAGATACCAATCTTGGGAAAATTGAATCAAGACCAAAGTGTATTTAATATACCTTTGGCCTGAAGGCAGATGGCCTAGTGTTAAAATCATTGTGAGGCTGAGACCTTTGATCACCATTATATAGAGAATAAAGGAGGATACATGATCACCATTATATATAGAATAAATTTGGGGGATACAAGAAAAAATTTGTTTAGCCTCCATACACTTAGTCGTAAGCAACTGTCTTCTTAAAGCATTCTAGTAAAATGCATGTTTTGAAGTTTGATTAATGTGAAGAAAACTTTTTTTTCTCTAAATACTTTATATTCTTTATCATATGTGGATCAAAGATGTTTTGTCATGAATATATGTGATATTGGGGTTTTTTCCTCTCCTGGTGAATAAGGCGCCAAGGTTGGCATTTGGTTTTTAATTCATCTGCACAGATGATATGAGTCAGTGCCACTGAAGTTAAAAAGAAAAAAGGTTATGTTGAACACAGAAGGATTTTGGCAGTTTTATTAAAACAAACTGAAACATAATTCTGATTGTTTGGTTGATATTTTATAACAGGCCATCAGAGCACACACTGCTAGCCATGCATGTTGATTTACATTAATATTAAATAAAATTAAAATTTCAGTTCCTCAGCTGCATTTAGCACTGTGTCTGGAGGGTGACAAAAATGGTGAAAAATGCTATCCTGTTGATCTTTTGACTGCATACCTAAATATGAAGAAATTTCTTTTTACATTGTTTACATTTTTTTTTAAGTTTCTGCCTTGAAATGACAGGCTGCCCATTCCTAAGAGATAATGGAAAATTCACAACTCAGGTGTTGAGTAGTGTCTGCAGCCCTAAGCCCTGCCATTCTGTACTGTTATCACCTGTATTTGAAAGAGCAACATTTTCTCAGACTTACACTTTTAGAACCATGGTTACACTTGCAGTATTATTTTTCATTCTTTTAATCTTTTAATTCAAAGTTGAGTGTATTCTGTTCCTTAAATTCAAATGAAGAGAATCCATTTTCTGATTCACTAAACTAAGACTTCAGAACATGTATTCTGTTCAATTTTAATACCTACAAATGGAATAAAAAAGTTACATAAGGCTCAATTTGCCATAGAATCTGTCAACCTGCATTCCATTTCTTTGTATCAGTCTCCCCTTCTCTCAGATCTGCATATATAAATATCAACTTTATTAAATGAAAGCATTTGTCTGGAAAAATCTGCATTAATTTGGAGTCTCCTGAAACATATAAGTCACTTTTAAAAAAAGAATGCTAATTAAACCTTGAGGACATTGTGCTAAGTGAAATAAGTCAGTCACAAAAGACAAGTCCATTGTGATTCCATGTCTGAGCCACCTGGAGTAGCAAGACTCATGGAGATAGCAAGTAGAAAGGTGGAAAGGAGGGAGTGGGGAGTTGTTTTATAATGAATATAGGTCCAGTTTTGCAGGATGAAAGAGTTCTGGTTTTACTTCTTCAGTCTCCTTAAGTATTTTATCCTCCACCATGATGTAACTGAAGAGTACATTTGATAACTATTTCATAAAAGAAAAGTAACAACAAATGTTCTGTAGATGGATAGAAAGTATACTGTGATCTTTTTAAAAGCTCCCTTCTTGTTGTAAGATGTTTAGATTTGTTTGTGCCTCTCCTAACAGAAAAATTTGAGCTTCCACTGTCATTGTTCCTTTTCTGTGAGGAAGAAATTGAAGATGAAGCCTCTGTGCTCATTTCAAACTTGTTTTACTGTTTACACAGCTCATTTTCTTTCAGGCAAACTTGCTTTTGTTGAAAAAAAAAAAAAACTTTCAGATTGCCAAAAAATCACACCCTTGTAAACCATAACAGGGCAGGTATTGTTAGCTTGCTTTGAGTATTTGGCACTATCTCCAGGAATTGCATGGAGTATGTTACCCAGAACTGTGTGATCATTTATATACTTCTCCAGAACCTAAGTAGACTCATGGTACACTAGAAACATTTACAGATGTGAATGAGTTTGTGCATCCTGTTTGCTGAGAATTCAGTGCTTTTGAAGGTAGTCCAAGAGAAGGATGTTCTCACCAGCCAGTCAAAATATTTGTAGACTGTAACTTTTCCCCTCTTGTGCTCCATGGTACTGTAAATGAACCACTCAACTGCTTCTGTGTGCAAGTGAAGTTGCTGATAAGAACTTAAATTTTGAACCAGAAGGGCCCTGGATATTAAAGAAAATGTAGCTGAAACTCTACAGAAAAAGCAAACCTCTTCAAGGAAACATGGAAGTAACCTTGGTGCTGATTTGGTTTAACCTCTTAATAATTTAAAAAAAATTTTCAGATTCAGCCCTATGAGAAGATAAAGGCCAGGGGCTTACCTGATAATGTATCTTCTGTGCTGAACAAGCTGGTGGTGGTGAAACTCAATGGCGGTTTGGGAACCAGCATGGGCTGTAAAGGCCCAAAGAGTCTGATTGGCGTGAGGAACGAGAATACCTTTCTGGATCTGACCGTTCAGCAAATCGAAGTGAGTAGGAGCATTGAGCCTTTCTCATGAGCTACCAAAATGATTTTCAGTTTTCAGGTTACTGTAAATGTTACCTTAGAAAATAATAGATGTGGATTTGAGCTAGTCAAGGAGCATGCTATCTTTATTCTCTTTATTAGTGTGTTAAAAAAAGGTTTGGTGTTCCTAAAAGCAAATCCTTAGGGTGATGTGAGAGCTTTTGATGTTTAAATAGCATTTGTGGTGCGAATCTCTGAATCTCTTCGAATTCTTCTTTGATCTCCCTGCCTCTCTCCCCTCCTTCTCTCTAAGGGTAGCCTTCATCAGAGCTGGGATGATCTGACTTTATTAGCCCCCTTTTGGAGGCTGGGGAGAATTTTCATGTATCTGGGTGGGCACCATGGATGCTAAGAATTGTCACTAACTTCTCTTTTACACAGACCATAAAGTCCTTAATCATAGACCATAAGCTCGTAAAGGGCAGTGGCCCCTGTCTTTTTCATCTCTATATCCCTAGTTTCTCATACGGTGCCAGCAATCATTATAATAGCAGTAGCAGCAGCTAACATTTATCCAGCACTTACTAAGTATCATTCTGAGCTCTTTACATGAATTGACTCATTTGTTCCTCTCAACAACTCTGTAAGATAAGCACTGTTATCATCACCATGTTACAGATGAGGAAACCAAGGCACAGAGAGGTTGATTTATGCCCAGGCCTCCCTCGCTGGTTAGTAAGTGCAGAATCAAACAGGGAACACGGGGCAGTCTGACTTCTAGGATTGCATTTTCTTCACACTTTGTGTTGCCTTTTAGCTCTTCCTAAAGATAGAAAAGATATTAGTTAAGGTATTATTCACAGTCTTTAACATGAATCCTGAGAATAGGTAGACGTCTTTGTAAACATTTGTACTTTCATCCCCACAGTACTTTGGACATAGAGTAAATACTTACTCTGTGTTTGCCCATCCAGTGAGGCCATAGGGCACTGTGGCTGGGCACACAGCCCCAGAGTTGGACTGTGGGGGTTGGGAGGGGTGTCCTGGCTCTTCCACTGACCTGCCACTTCTCTGGGCCTCAGTTTAGCCATCCATAAAATGCAGACAGTAGTTTCTGTCTCATAGCATTGTGATTTAATGAGCAAGTACATGGTAAAGATACTAGTTATAGTTTATTTCAAATCTATATATTTTGCCATTATAGATGATATGAACATTTTGTGATCAACCATTGAGAGTTAACTTTATACTTTGAAACAAAAGAATAGTAAGTCTGAGTGACCTGATTGTTGTTTTCCTCCATAGCATTTGAACAAAACCTATGATACTGATGTTCCTCTTGTTCTGATGAACTCTTTTAACACGGATGAAGATACCAAAAAAATACTACAGAAGTATAATCACTGTCGTGTGAAAATCTACACGTTTAATCAAAGCAGGTACAAGGAGTAAAAAACTTAACTATGGGGGATGTTACTTCAGGGAAAGAAGGACTTCTTTGTTTTGTTTAATCAGAGCAGCCTCAAGATGTACATGTGTCAGACTGTCTACAGGTGTTTAATGCCTTTAAAGGCTAAACATTAGTTAATAGATATGTGGCAGTTATAATCACTCTGTGGTTATGTAACTTGAATTTCTTAAAAGAGAATCTGCCTGAGATTTTAGTTCTCAAAAGTGGTAAGAAGCAGACATCCCTGAGTACCAACCTGCTGTTGATTTTCTGGGAAAGGAAGAGAACCACCACTGAATATATCTGTTGGTAAGAATGGACAGCATTTCCCAAATGGAGAGCATTTCCTTTTTTTTCAAGGAAAAGAACAATTCCATCACCAAATAAGTTTGAGAAAATTTACTTAATACGTTTTTCCTTTTGAAGAGTCATAAAACATGTGAATATCTTAAAAATATGGGGTGTCTTCCCATCTGAATGACCATGGAATAATTTTTTTTTTTTTTGCAGCAAATATCACTATGTAGGAAGCTGGTTTTTTGGTCAACACAGATAATGAGAGATTTTCTTAAATGGATTCACTTATGATTAAATTACTATGATGGACTGAAAAGGAGGGAAATTTGATTTAACTTTACATGCATTGTTTAACTTGAAGATCTGGAATACTCTACAGAGTTGACACTGAAAAAGAAATTTTGTTTTCTTAAGGTACCCAAGGATTAATAAAGAATCTTTACTGCCTGTAGCAAAGAATGTATCATACTCAGGGGAAAATACAGAAGCTTGGTATCCTCCGGGTCATGGAGATATTTATGCCAGTTTCTACAACTCTGGTTTGCTCGACACCTTTATAGGAGAAGGAAAAGAGTATATTTTTGTGTCCAACATAGATAATCTGGGCGCCACAGTGGATCTTTATATTCTTAATCATCTCATGAACCCACCCAATGGAAAACCTTGTGAATTTGTCATGGAAGTCACAAACAAAACCCGTGCAGATGTAAAGGTAAATACTGAAGAAGCACTTTGGGGATTTACATCTTCACATTTCACAGTTGCAATTCTTTATTGAAAAGTTTAAAGTTTAGAAACTTGATAACATCACTGTAAGCGAGAGTGGGATAGTGTTCTAGAGTACACTAAGTTCTATCTGATATAACAGTGTGTATATACATCCAGATTTAATAGTAGTAAAATCATTTTTCTTTTTCAAACAATCTATATGGGCAATTTTAACTAAAAAACAATTCCACACATATTTATAGGATTATCTGAAACGTATGTGAAAACACTGTGTTTGTTCCAACCACTAATATTCTTCTAGTTGGATGCTTAAGTGTTTTTAATTGTTGTTTTAATGAAAATTTACTTCTATTTCTACAGTATGTATTTCTCTGTATATATTTTATCACTGTAATATCTTTTGTTACAAAACAAAGTTTATACAAAACAAAAATTAGTTTTTTTCATTTTGCATGTTTAGTGGTGATATTTGGCCTTTGATTGAATAGTACACAAGGTTTTCCACTTAGCTTCAGGGAGTAAGAAAAGTGGGCAGTGTGTGATACTATGGCTTGTCCTTGGGCTGGGTTCTGTTTCTCTTGCAAATGTCCCCCTCACATATGAGTGAACATTCCCCTTTTCCTGCACCTCAGGGCCTCTAGGCTAAAGCCACTCTGAAGTCTCTTCTCTTCCACTTGCGCCTCTGTCTTAACGTTACTCCCCTTATCCCACAGGTAGTCAGAGCAGGGTCTGAGGTGGTAGGATTGGTCGTTTGGTGAGAATAAGAGGAATGTCTGTTTCTGCAGCAGATGTTTGGAAAGTGAGGAGAGCGCTAATGTACCCCCAGGACTTTTATTATGGACAAGAGGGAGTATAAAACAACTGACAACCTGAATTATTTTCTTTGGTTCTACTTTCATACATGTGTTACTTTGTATCCCAGATTGAATCACTGCCATTGCCTTTTATTTCTGGGGGATTTTGTCATCAGTGTCTTTTCTGTATCATTCATAGACTGTAAACAACGTGGTGTGGTTATAATTGGGAGCGGTGTGGAAGCACTCACTCTTCTCTGCCTTTCTAGGGTGGGACACTCACTCAGTATGAAGGCAAACTGAGACTGGTGGAAATTGCTCAAGTGCCAAAAGCACATGTTGATGAGTTCAAATCTGTATCAAAATTCAAAATATTTAACACAAACAACCTATGGATCTCTCTTGCTGCAGTTAAAAGACTGCAGGAGCAGAATGCTATTGACATGGAAATCATTGTAAATCCAAAGGTAAGCCAAAGTTGCAGCCCATTGGGCTCCCTGGTTCCACTCACAGCACACCACACACAGATTCACTGTCCACTGCCTCTGGCCTGTCTAGTCATGGGTCATTCCTTTTGGCCTAGTTAGTTTCTTCCATTCCTGGCCCTCTCTTTCAGAGTCGACACCCATCCCTTAGTTTGCCAAGCAATCCATAGTGTCCTTACTCGACCCTGGGCCATGGTAGCGGCAAGAGCACTGGGGCCCAAATAGAGGATATACCTCAACCTTTATGCTCTGGTACTTAGAGGCCTCTTGGCCACAGGCATCTGCGTGGGTTTTCTGAACCTTCAGCTCTTTATTGTAAAATGGAAATGTTACTGAACAAGAGAGTTATGATGCTGAAAAAGATCACATATGTATAAGCACCTACCAGTGCTTCAGAGATACCAGCTCTCAAAATTCTGTTTCCTTCAGTGGATCTCTGAAACCACTTGCCAAATAACTAGCCCATATAGAACCAAGTTACTAAAACCTGTTTTTCTCTCCTGCTCCCTTTCTTACAGACTTTGGATGGAGGCCTGAATGTCATTCAGTTAGAAACTGCAGTAGGGGCTGCCATTAAAAGTTTTGAGAACTCTCTAGGTATTAATGTTCCTAGAAGCCGTTTTCTGCCTGTCAAAACCACATCAGATCTCTTGCTTGTGATGTCAAACCTCTATAGCCTTAATGCAGGATCTTTGACAATGAGTGAAAAGCGGGAATTTCCTACAGTGCCCTTGGTTAAATTAGGGAGTTCTTTTACAAAGGTATGTAATTATAAATATGATATACATGTGAATTTGTATTTCTTAATGTGTAATTAGAAAGATAGGATACACACGTGAATTGGAGTCTGATGCTAATCTATTATATTCTTCCAACTCTGATGTCTTTTAAAGGAAATCAACCATAGAAGATGAAAATGTAACTCATTTTTTAACTGCTTGCTATATAGAGCAGTAAAAAATGTTTATATTTTAAGATATTATATCTTATGTCTTGTCTAAGACCATTACTGCTTTCATCAGTGAGAGTATGTTAATTCTGGTTTAACAGAATTTATTGAGCCTCTGCCATGCACAAGGCAGTGTTCTAGGTATTGAGCAATAAATAAAACAGACAAAAGTCTTAGCCTTCCTGGATATTCTAGTGGGGTAAGAAGCAAGTAAGTCAAAGGTATAATATGCCAAGAGATGGTAAATGCTAAATAAACGAGTAGGGAATGTGTGGACGTGGTGGTGGTGGTGACATTTTACATCGGGTGGCCTGAGAAGTTTATACCATGCAGGTATCTGGGGCAAAAAGCATTCTAGGCAGGAGGAATATGGTAAGCGGAATCCAAAAAAATTAATCACATAAAATGCTGTGAGGTTAATGAAGTGACAGGGTTAGCCTTTGTGTGGCCTGTGCCATCCAAGTCTATTCTAGTCCTGCTTGTGGTTCGGATGTGTGCACTGCCCTGACACAGTCATGGGCTGATTCTGGGTCCTGTGACCGGGTTGGAATTTCCAGGACAGCATCATGCATTTTAGAAGTCTCCGTGTCTTTGGTGCCTCCCTAATCTGCCTGCTCGGGCTGGGAAGATCGTGGTGCTACATGGACCCGCCATCTTCCCAGATCCTGAGATGGAATTACTAACCATTTTCCACCTAGCCTCATCCTCCCTTCCTTGCCTCCCACCCTTCCTAGTCTCTTCCATACCCTGCAAGAGATAAGAACTTTAGGCTGTCTCAGTTTGAGAACAGGGGTTGAGAGGGCAATCGCTAGTTGCTCTGAGGAAGAACATGTTTTAGGGTTCCTAGAGCACAGTGAGCAAGTGAGCAGTGGGGGTGGGAGATAGTTGATCAGAGATGTAACAGGCCAGATTGTGTAGAACCTTGTAATTGGGTATTGGGAGTGTGGCTTTTTTCTTCTCAAGGGTGAGAAGCCATTGGAGAATGTCAACTGAGGGGTGAAGTGACCAATCTGGTGAGCAAGGGTAGAATCAGGGTGAGACCAGGGAATAGGCTGTCACTGGAATTCTGGCTTGGAGCAGGGTGGCTGCAGGGGAAATAGTGAAAAACGTTAACATTATGAAATATTTTGTAAGTTGTACCTACAGGATTTACTAGGTAGGAGGGTGAAAGAGAAGAGTACGGATGGCTCTAAGGTTTTTGGCCTGTGTGACTGGAAATGTAGAGCTGGCTTTTACTGAGGGTGTGGAAGGCTTGGATAGAACAGGTTTAGGGGGAGCAGAATGGACAGTTAAATTTTGGAGACAGTGTACTTGGACCTTCAAATGGAGAAGCTGAATGTATGAGTCTGGAGCTCAGAGGAAAAATCTAGAAACAAGGCAAATTTGAGAGTTGTCAGTGTATAACTGGGTATTTAAAACCATAAGGATCGCTGAGTCAGTTAATGACAGGGTAGGGAGTCAAGAACTGAGCCCTGAGGAACGCCAAGGCCAGAGGATGCGGATATGGTGGAGGAAGCAGCACAGGTGACTGTGGAGGTGCAGATGAAGAACTGGGTAGAAAACCATGACTGTGTGTGGCCTGAAAGCCAAATGAAGAAAATGTTTATCATTTGTAGTCAAGTGCTGTTGCCAACTCAAATAAGATGAGTGAGAACTCACAATTAGCTTTAACAGTATAGAGGTTTTGGGGCCTGACTGGCGTGGATTTAAGAGAGAACAGAAGAGAAATTGAAGATACTGAATGAGAAAACGTATTCAAGAGTTTTTCCTTAAAGAAAAACATAAAAATGAATCTATAGGTAGAAAGGGATATAAGATTTTAGAATTCTGTTTTTAAGTTGGGAGAATTTATAGCATGTTCTATACATTGATGGGAATTGACAGAATCAAGAGGGAAGCAACACTGAAGAGGGAGAAAGGAGCATTGCTTCACAGTATCTTTGGGCAGTAACCATAAGAAGGGTTAGCCTTACATTGGAATAGAAATGGTCCGACCCCAGAACTAGGAGGGACAGGTAATGGGTTCCAGAGCAAATGGGTGGTGGTGGTAGAGGCCAGTGTAAATTTTCCTGTTGCTTCTGTATTTCTCAGCAAAATAGGAAACAAGGCCATACACGACAATTTCTAGTGCCAGTAAATCTAAGGAAGTAAGAGGCAAAGATAGTGATCTTGATACTTTGTGCTGTTGTTCTTCTAGAACTGTATTCCATTTCTTCTTAATCCTACCTATGTCATAAAGCCCAGCTCCAGTCTAGCTTGCTTCAAACCATGATGATCTCTTTTCCAACTAACTCCAGATTATGTGAACCACTCACCTGGCTCTTAGCATGGTGGTTATCTTTTTACTTATTACTATTTTAATGTCTAATCTACTCAGCTGTAGTGTAAACACTTGATTGTGGGGACAAAGTTTACCTCCTGGTCTCTCCTACACAGGATATATAAACTCTCACTATTCACACAGTGAGTCCTTAATAAACAGGATTCTTCCCATAAAAGGCCTGAGCTTGGCCATAAACAGAATGTTTTACAGTTCAAGTAAACTGCCTTGTTAATTTAATCCCTGTTTTTCTTTTAACCCATTTTTGAAACAATTTTTATGTTTTCCTTTTTCTTTCAGGTTCAGGATTATCTAAGAAGATTTGAAAGTATACCAGATATGCTTGAACTAGATCACCTCACAGTTTCAGGAGATGTGACATTTGGCAAGAACGTTTCATTAAAGGTGTGTTATGATGAAAATTAGAGTTCTTATAGTTTTATAAGACAGGTTTCATCATCTAGTCCTAAATTTACCTTTATTTTAAGGAATACTTCTTAGTCTGTACCAGATTGCTTATGAGATATGCATTTTCAAAATGAAATAGCTTACTACAGTATTTAGTATTAATACTGTTGTCCATAGATATACACCATAGTTAAAATATAATCATAATTGTTGTGTATAGGAATTTTGTGGAACATAGCATTCAAATGGAAAGCAAACACTATTAAATAATTGAATTGGTACTATTTTATTGAAATATGACAGTCTTTAAAATTGAATCACTGATAAATTAGCATTCACTAAAGATGACTATTTGAAAGTAGAAAAAAATAACAACTCCATTTATACTGATTATAATCTATTCCTATTAAAAGTAAAATGTCATCAGTATGAAGATGTTCATTCACATTACTACAGTGCTTGGGTACTTTGAGTATCATTCCAGCCTAGCATAAGAAATAGCAAGGACTATGGGTATGAGTATTCAAGTTCAGAACCAAAGATAGAACAGTTTTTTCCTAATCAAGTATTTTTTTAAAGTTCCATACCTAGAGTTCATGTGTTCTTATTAAAGTGACTTAAAGATCTTAAAAAAAACAAAAAGGTATATAGATATATTTATTTATAATTATTGCTAATACTGCCTTATCTAAACAATTTTACTTAAGACATGAAATATGAATCATTAAACTGTTCTTTAAAAAAAAAAACACAAACCTGTATGTAGATAAAAACCAAGCACCTTGTAGTTTCTGAAGGTAGATAATGCTGGTGGCCTTGCAAGTAGTTCTTTGAAAGGGCCAGTCATGCTGTGGCACTGGGTCCACTTCCCACTTCTAGACTCCTTGCCTCCTTATCAGAGATGGTACCAGAACTACTGCCAGGGTTGTGACAGGACACATTACAGTTTTCCTTAACAGGCCACAGGGTTGTGACAGGACACATTACAGTTTTCCTTAACAGGCCATTTGTTTTTCATATTTCATGTTGTTTATAAATACGCTTACTCCATTGTAAGTGAAGTTCCACATAAACGTGATAACTGTAGGAAAATCAACTGCATTTCAGCTCGCCGTTGCAATTACTCTTGTTTTTTCTGTCACTTAGGGAACAGTTATCATCATCGCAAATCACGGTGACCGAATTGACATCCCACCTGGAGCAGTATTAGAGAACAAGATTGTATCTGGGAACCTGCGTATCTTGGACCACTGAAATGAAAAATACTGTACACACTTTATACTAATTATGGGCTGAACAGTTTCTTACAATGAAAAGTTCCTCTAAGATTATAAAATAGGCAGGTACTGTTCTATGTTACTGTACCCTGCAGTGTTAATTTTTAAAGTAGAGTTTTCTGCAGTATGCTTTTAGTCTAAGAAAAGCACAGATGGAAGCAATACTTTTCTTTTTTGAAGAAGATCCTGAAAGTTAATTCATCTGAAAGTGCAATATTGTTTAATCTTAAAACTGGGGCAGCTCTGCTGGAAAATCTTTTAACAGAGGCCTCAATGATGGTCATTTTGAACTGCTTGTGATTTCAAAAATAAAGCTGTGAAGCAATACATGTGTACACTCATACTTTTCAATGCTAACTTTATGAAATGCTGAAGAAAAATTTTGGTTTACTCTTGCCAAACAGTTACTCTATCAGTTGAAAGATTTGCTCCTGGAATATTTAAGTGCTCGCTGGCCAGTTACCTAACAAATCCAGGTTTTACATTTCTGAGAATTAACCACATCATTATTTCCATAGGAATTAAACTTGAAGGTGTATCTTTCATCTAGTTCTGAAACTGGGATGCCTGCCATGCTTTCCACAGACTCTCCATTTACTGAAACAAAGTGGTATTTCTTTTCCCGGCTGAAGGGGGTGGGGTGGGCAGAGGTAGCACATTTCTCTCACACCCTTGTTCTCTAGTATAGCGGGGTGAGGGTATAACTTTATAAAAAGTTCCCTTTCCTTGAAGCTTCATTTCTTGAAGCTGCTTTGCTGTCACTGAAAATGTTCTTGAATAAACCTTCCAAATCCAGGTCTGCTGGTAGTTTGAATTTTGGCTTTTCTCTAAGTATCAATTACATTTTTCAGTTCTTCCATGCTTGTTTTTGAGTAAGTTGCTTATTTTCTTTAAAATTTACTGTATACTGTTAAAAAAAAGTTGTCTTTTAAAGTCTGATAATTTTTTACAGCTTTATTTTAGACAGACAGTTAAGAACCAATGACATACCTCTGTAATAAGGATAAAGGAAAGAAAACAGGCTTTCCTTTTAGGAAACCAAAGAGCACAAAATAAGACTATTTCATTGTACATAATCACCACAAGGTTAGGCACTCTGACAGGGTTAGGCAAGATTCCTGGTGTGAAGTGAGGCACAGGCACTTTCATTTAATTCTAATTTTGAAGGTAGGTATTATAAAAGTCTTTAATTTAAATAATTTACTCATCACCTTATATTTCTGGCCCCAACACAGCAGCCTATATTTTAAAAGTTCTATCTATCCCTGGTCTTTGTTCATATACACACTGAAAGTAACTTACAAACAAGAACCCGAGGGGGGGCATACTTCAATGTTATCTAAATGTTAAAATGAGAACTCAGGATTAGGCAGAATATATGAAAATGTATTCCTGCCTCTAAAAATAAAAAGGAAAAAAACACCCAACCCTTCATAGATGCTTTTATAAAAATACAGCTGTTAAACTGCAGGCTTTCATATACCACATCTGATAAGTATTTAAATTAATAGTTGCATAAATAAACACCAAAATCTTACTCTTTTATTATTACTTGTGATCAGCCTTTCAAGTATTTAGACTATTCTGGAAGGCTTTTACGCAGCTGACATACAGCGGTGATAAAAAGATTAAATTTGCAACACACAAAGCTTGAAACTTAACATTGGTCACTAAAACAAAAACTGAATTCCTAAATCCAAGCAATTAAAAGATGTTTATTTTTTATAGAAAGATCTGTAAAAAAATAATTTTCAAACAGCTTTACTTTCATAGAGAAAACTTTCTACAGAGGTTGAGTAAGATTTTAATATTTTAAATTGTACCATCATTAAATAAAGTGGGACACCATATGAATTTCATTGCACTGGAAGAAATGCAAAGCATTTTTTAATATAAAGTATACAGAGCATTCTAGTCAACTACAGCTGTGTTACAGCTATGTGTTCTTTTGGATTTGGTCCAAAGAAACCTGAGTCTGTTTCCAGAGAGAATGAAAAATGTTATAGACACCTGATCAGTTACTCCTCACTGAAGGAAGCACACAAATGGCATTCCTTGTAGATCCCACTGAATCCCAGTTTCCCAACACTGACACACTCCTTTTCCCCTTCCCCAATCCCGGTTCACTGTGGGCTCCAGATTCAGTTCTTCAGTCACAGGCGTCCATGTTTCCATCATAAACACACATCCCCTGGTCAGATGAACTGCCCAGTTTTCCAGTATGTCATCACCTTTTCTGTTCCCATATCTCGGCCATATTTAGGTCCAAATCTTTAAGGCCTTTTAAGGCTTGAAGATTTCCAGTGTAAAAAGCTACATCTGCTGTGACCAACCTAAACATTGAAGAGAAAATTACTTTTAATCTCATGCTTTCATTTCAAATAAAGTAGCTGTGCTCACAAAGTAAAAGACCTATCCTAGCTTCTAGACTGACTGATTTAAAATTTGGATGCCCTAGGGACCAAATGTCAATATATTTCTCTTAGCAGAGAAATATAGTTAGATCATTTAATGCTGTCTCTTTCAACAGTGTTTTCAAAAGACTGGAGTCAGTTTCACAAATTTATGTTAAAACAGTATGAAACAGAAAAATAATGGTGTAAACTTTTTTTTTGGATCAGTTGTCACTAGAATATACGTGTATGTGACTAGTGAACTCAAGGAAAAGAAAGACAAGGTTTCCTGAGTGCCATCTTAAAAAGTTAAATGAAGGCTGGTACTCATGTGTAAGTACTACTGGATACAAAACTTGATACTGACAATATAAAAATGTGTGACAAAAAGCCAAGAATTACACTTTTGAGTATTTAGCTGTCACATTAATGCTTATCCTTGAAAAAACACTCCTGGAAAGAAGGCTCAGATAAATATCATAGCTCCACACACATGAAATAAGGACCAGCCTGATGAGATGTATACGTTGACAGATGTGGCCCACAAAGAAAAAAAATAGATCCTCACTTAGTATTTTATAAAGAAAGAGGAAATGCAGCTTTGATATTTTAAAAAGCATGTAAGGTCTGGATTGCTGGACTACCAGGGGGCAAGGATATTTTTTTTTCCATTTATTTTTATTAGTTGGAGGCTAATTACTTTACATCATTGCAGTGGGTTTTGTCATACTGAAATGAATTAGCCATGGATTTACATGTATTCCCCATCCCGGTCCCCCCTCCCACCTCCCTCTCCACCCCATCCCTCTGACCATTACAGTATACTAACACAAATATATGGATATTTTTATGTACTAGAGTCATAGATACCGTTGTACTTATGTGCTTAAGGTTTCAGCTTTTGTCACATGGCAGAATTTAGTTACAACCATATTTTTTGTTTGAAACTTCTGGTTCAGACTGCTTTAAAATTCATAAAACGAGTAAATTATGTTTTCTGTAATAATAGGATCAGTAAGTACACTGAAACTAACAGCAGAGGCTCAGAATAGAACAAAGTCATTTAAGGCAAGTTTCCCACATTAAAAATTAAAATTAACATAAATCTCCATTTTAAAAGATCACGTTATGTTTAACAAACACAACTATTTATAGTCTATAGAAGAAAGTACATAGTATATGCTGTACATCAAAGTTGAGAATTTTTGTTTGCTAAAAGGACAAAAAAGTAAATATGTGCAATATATGTAACCAATGAAGGATTAATTTGAAGGCATATGCAAAAATAAAATCAGCAAGAAAAAAATACCCAGATAAAAAATGGGCAAAGAATATGAAAAGTCACAGATGAGAACACCTGAATGACAAATATGTAAAGACAAACATTAGGAAATGCAAATCAAAACAAAATACCATTGTATCCATTAGACTGGCAACAATTAAAAAAATGTAACAGCAAATGCTGGCAAGATGTGGAATAAAAGGGAATGTAAACTTGGTACAACCACTTTGGAGAGCATTCTGGCAAATCCTACTGGAGTGAAAATGTACATCTGATTCACTTCTAGATATGTACCCTAAAGAAAAGATCACATCATTATACATGTATAAGGGAAGATCTTCACTGTGGCATGATTGTAAGGGAAAAAAATAATAACCTAAAATCAATCACTAGGTGAAATGGATACATTAAATATGGCTGATTCATGTGGAAGAATACAATAAAGCAATAAAAAATGGATGATTTTTATATATCAGCATAAGTAAATAATAGAAAAAGCAAGCAGCATATGTACAAAATATCATGTAACTAAATTCATAAAGCAGCTCCATATTTTTCCTGAGATAAAGAGGTAAATAAATCAGAATAACTTGAAGGATATAGACCAGATTTACTAGAAACACTGCAGAAGGGCTGGGAAAAAGAGAAAAGGACTGGAGATAGGGATCAAGGGGTACTCAAGCTTTGTTTGGAATGCCAATTTAAAAACAATGCTGAACTTTGTTTTCAAGTGAAAATGAAAAATGTTAATACTGATCAATTCTAAGTAACAGGAATACAAATATTCTCCATATGTCTCTGTATTTTAAAAATGTATTAAAATAGAGAAAAAGAAAATCACATTAAAAAGAACACGTGTGGTTGTTGGGGAGAAGGAAGGCAACACTGCCTAATGGGGTTTCCGAGGTGGTGCTGGTGATAAAAAGCCCACCTGCCAATGCAGGCAACATAAAAGACACAGGTTCGATCCCTGGGTAGGAAAGATCCCCTGCAGGAGGGCACCAGGCTCCAGTCCATAAGATCACCGAGTCGGACATAAGCATGCACACTTAACCGGCCTGGGATTTCCTCTTGAGGTAGTAAAATGTTTCAGTTCAGTTCAGTTGCTCAGCTGTGTCCAACTCTTTGCGACCCCATGGACTGTAACACACCAGGCCTCCCTGTCCATCACCAGCTCTGGAGTTGACTCAAACTCATGTCCATTGAGTTGGTGATGCCATCCAACCATCTCATCCTCTGTTGTCCCCTTCTCCTCTCGCCTTCAATCCTTCCCAGCATCAGGATTTTTTGAAATGAGTCAGTACTTCGCATCAAGTGGCCAAAGTACTGGAGTTTCAGCTTTAGCATCAGTCCTTCCAATGAACATTCAGGACTGATTTCCTTTAGGATGGACTGGTTGGATCTCCTACCTGTCAAAGGGATGCTCAAGAGCCTTCTGCAACACCACAGCTCAAAAGCATCAATTCTCTGGCACTCAGCTTTCTTTATAGTCCAACTCTCACATCCACACATGACTACTGGAAAACCATAGCCTTGACTAGACAGACCTTTGCTGACAAAGTAATGTCTCCGCTTTTTAATATGCTGGCTAGGTTGGTCGTAACTTTTCTTCCAAGGAGCAAGTGTCTTTTTATTTTATGGCTGCAGTCACCATCTGCAGTGATTTCGGAGCTGAAAAAAATAAAGTCTGCCACTGTTTCCACTGTTCTCCATCTACTTCCCATGAAGTGATGAGGACCTGATGCCATGATCTTTGTTTCCTGAATGTTGAGCTTTAAGCCAACTTTTTCACTCTCCCCTTTCACTTTCGTCAAGAGGCTCTTTAGTTCTTTGCTTTCTGCCATAAGGGTGGTGTCATCTGCATATCTGAGGTTATTGATATTTCTCCCAGTAATCTTGATTCCAGCTTGTGCTTCCTTCCAGCCAAGAATTTCTCATGATGTACTCTGAATATAAGTTAAATAAGCAGGGTGACAATATACAGCCTTGACATACTCCTCTTCCTATATGGAACCAGTCTGTTGTTCCATGTCCGGTTCTAACTATTGCTTCCTGACCTGCATACAGGTTTCTCAAGAGGCAGGTCAGGTGGTCTGGTGTTTCCATCTCTTTCAGAATTTTCCACAGTTTATTGTGATCCACACAGTCAAAAGCTTTGGCATAGTCAATAAAACAGAAATTGATGTTTTTCTGGAACTCTCTTGCTTTTTCGATCCAACGGATGTTGGGAATCTGATCTCTGGTTCCTCTGCCTTTTCTAAAATCAGCTTGAACATCTGGAAGTTCATGGTTCACGTATTGCTGAAGCCTGGCTTGGAGAATTTTGAGCATTACTTTGCTAGTGTGTGAGATGAGTGCAACTGTGCATTTTTGACATTTGAGCATTTTTTGACATTGCCTTTCTTAGGGATTAGAATGAAAACTGACCTTTTCCAGTCCTGTGGCCACTGCTGAGTTTTACAAATTTGCTGGCGTACTTAGTGCAGCACGTTCACAGCATCATCTTTCAGGATTTGAAATAGCTCAACTGGAATTCCATCACATCCACTAGCTTTGTTCGTAGTAATGCTTTCTAAGGCCCATTTGACTTCACATTCCAGGATGTCTGGCTCTAGGTGAGTGATCACACCATTGTGATTATCTGGGTTGTGATGTTCTTTTTTGTACAGTTCTTCTGTGTATTCTTGCCATCTCTTCTTAATATCTTCTGCTTCTGTTAGGTCCATACCATTTCTGTCCTATTATTGAGCCCATCTTTGCATGAAATATTACCTTGGTATCTCTAATTTTCTTGAAGAGATCTCTAGTCTTTCCCATTCTGTTATTTTCCTCTATTTCTTTGCATTGATCGCTGAGGAAGGCTTTCTTATCCTTGCTATTCTTTGGAAGTCTGCATTCAAATGGGAATATCTTTCCTTTTCTCCTTTGCTTTTGGCTTCTCTTCTTTTCACAGCTATTTGTAAGGCTCCTCAGACAGCCATTTTGCTTTTTTGCATTTCTTTTTCTTGGGGATGGTCTTGCTCCCTGTCTCCTGTACAATGTCATGAACCTCCATCCATAGTTCATCAGGCACTTTGTCCATCAGATCTAGTCCCTTAAATCTATTTCTCACTTCTACTGTATAATCGTTAGGGATTTGATTTAGGTCATACCTGAATAGTCTAGTGGTTTTCCCTACTTTCTTCAATTTAAGTCTGAATTTGGCAATAAGGAGTTCATGATCTGAGCCACAGTCAGCTACCTGTCTTGTTTTTGCTGACTGTATAGAGCATCTCCATCTTTGGCTGCAAAGAATATAATCAATCTGATTTTAGTGTTGACCATCTGGTGATGTCCATGTGTAGAGTCTTCTCTTGTGTTGTTAGAAGAGGGTGTTTGCTATGACCAGTGCATTCTCTTGGCAGAACTCTATTAGCCTTTGTTCTGCTTCATTCTATAAAATGTTTGTAACTAGACAAAGCTGGTGGTTGCACAGAGGTGGTGTTGTGAAGGTACTAATGGCCACTGAATTTTTAACTGTGAAATGTTTGATTTTATGTTATGTCCCAATTTCAGCTTGAAAAAAGTAAAATTTTAGAGCCATTTCAGGAAAAAAAAAAATTCCTGTCTTTGGCTAGAGTCTAGAGGTAAGTTTTTAGGAAATTCTATCCTTCAAGGAATCACTCAAAGATGTATTTGACTTACTAAGTATTACTGTCTTTAAAAGTGTAAGATAATGAAGATCCTGAAGGTGCCAATCCCCAAATAGTTATATTAACAAAGAAAATAACAGGTGATTAATTTGGATGCTTCAGATCTACTGGTCTGAAAACAACCAACTAGCAAGATTCGGTTATGGGAATTAAAGTAGGAATGTATGAGAGGAATGGGACTTTAAAATAATATTAGTTTTCTTTGAATATTTGGTATTCATTATACTGTCATTAAACTTTTCTGTGGCTTTGAAATTTTTGGAAAAAAAATAATTCTTTAAAAAAAGAAGAAACAGGTTAATAGTCAAAAGAAAATCAGATTTTTGCATAAACCTCTTAAATTCAGCCTGGCAAACAAATTCAGCAGTTTGAAGCTTATAAATAGTTTTATGCAAAATCAATTTACTGTATTCTCCAACATCACAGGTTTTAACTGTGTGGGTCAATTTTTTAAAAATAGTAAATATTACAGCATTATATGATCTGCAGTTGGTTGAATCTATAGATGTGGGATTGTGGATACAGAGAAACCCTGTATATGGAGGGCCAGGTCCTTAAGTTATTCTTGAATTTTTCAACTGCTAGAGGGCAGCACACCTAACCACCCCCTTCCCTACCTTGTTCAAGGGTGAAACATACTTCTTTTTTTTTTTAAGGGCAAAACCAACTTCTGATTCCAAAATATGGTTTTTATGTTTGTCCCTGTAAGTTTGAAATTTAAGCCTGAAATGCCTTTAATGGGGAAAAAAATATTCCATTTCTAAAAATCCATGAACAGGTAACAAAGTACAGGAATCATACTAAGGTGTAACTTATATGATCAGTGCCTTGTATTTTATATAATCTTTAAATTCATATCCTAACCTACATTTCTCTTAACCAAAATTCTGTGACAGAACTTTTTATCATTCCCAATATAAGAAATATTAAGGCTCAGAGAGATTAAGTGACTTGCTCAGTTACAGAGCTAGTAAGTGGCCAAACTTAACCCAAGTTTTCTGATTCTAAATCTTATGTTTTATATGTCATTTTATTTCACCAATAATACATAAAATTTGTTCAGTGGCTTACAAGAAAATATATACACATTATTTTTTGTAACCCGGTGGAGGAACTGAAGAGATTTTATCATTCTCATTTCATACATAAGGCACAGTTTAAGTGACTTTCTCATGGTCATACAGGTACAAAGTAGGACTTTGAGTTCTGTCTGGACAGCTGAAGACTACTGGGTGACCTAAGGAGGTGCTACTAATGCACACTGCCTCAAAGTAGACATATAAGGTCAGTTAACTAACTGACCATTTATAAAACACTTTAACATAAACAGACAGATAGATATAGAGATACAGCACCTCCACAGAGGCAAAAAAAAAAAGGCAAAAGGTTGCTGATTTTACAACTGTGGGGCCCTGGCAAGATTATAGTGGTAAAGGACAGCACAGTGAATAAAAACTCATCAAACAACTCAGTATCGGAGTATGTGGTAAAAATATCTTGAAAACATACCCATTTTGAGGTCCTCCATCATTTATCACATTTAAGTGAGATAACTGCTTTTTCAAGTGGAGTTTGTAACTTGCATTAATTCTTAAAAATAACATCTGGAAAAGAAACAATACTAAGTTTCTTAAAGCTCTGCTGACACAGAAGACATAAGTAATTAGTATTATTTGGAGAAAATTTTTTGCTTTGGCATATACTTTTAAAATGCTCCTCTGAAAGTATGGAATTACTATTTCAGTATAGTTTTTCTGCTTAGTTGGATAAAAGCTCTTCTGCCCTTTTTAGCAGTACTCCTTTTAGTGATAGGATTTACTACTGCCTTTCTGCCCCTTAAAAGTCTTCTGGAATACATAAATGGGATGAAACATACAGGTAAAAAGAATAGAGAAAAGATGGAGAATTCTGCAATTAACTAGGAACCTGATAGAGAAAAAAGTCACAATGGTAAAGGAAGGCTACTGTTATCCTTCTAAATTACTTGGAAGTATTTTATCACTCCATTTGCAAATTTTTAATGTAATGGCCCAGTACTTCTTTGGGAAATGCCTGACCTGAAATTATACAAAACTAATCTATGGAAACAATTTTGTGAAATATATTTTCCATGACAAAAATATATAAAGTAATCTATGGAAAAGTTTTATGGAATCACTGGTACGCAAACTGACAGTGATTACATAAAATCTATACTGTGTGCCCAGGTTTGAAAAGAGTTCACTTTAAATGAAGATGCAGATAAAAATACATGAAATACCTGTGTATTCAGCTCACTGACCTGGCTAAGTCTTGGTCCAGAATTAGAACTTAGAGGGCAAATTCAGAAGGTCAGAATGTCAGAGGTGGGGGATCTTGCATGTGGAATGAAAAGGATGGTTTGACTAGGAAGACTGAGAAAGGAAAAGAGAGACCCTAGTGGGTGCTCCGTATCTAAAGCTCCTCCAAAGTCCTCAGTGAGCCCCAAAGATGGTGGATAATATTTATTCATAAAGTTAGTATGATTAATGAAAACCTAGGAAAACATGAGAAGATGATAATAGCTAGTGTAAGATGGAAGTTCAAGGGTGGTGTAGAAGCAGAAGTGGGGAAGAGACACTACAAAACCTACACTTTGCTCCCAAGTATCGATGCCATGCACTCAGCCAATCAGAGACAAACTGAAATAAGAAACGTGTCTGAAGAGCAAAAACTCCAGTGAAAGCTAAGATCATTAGTCATGTAACAGCTAGGCTTGTGTTAATTATAATACTGTGTGTTTGTTAAGTCGCTTCAGTCGTGTCCCCGTGGACTATAGTCCTCCAGGCGCCTCTGTCCATGGGATTCTCCAGGCAAGAATACTGGAGTGGGTTGCCATGCCCTCCTCCAGGGGATCTTCCCGACCCTAAATACAACTAGGTTTGAATGAGATCACCTGGTATAAAGGGAACAAACTAAGGTGGATAAAGAAGACTGAAAAAAAAGAAGTACTGGAACCTTTAAAGTACTACTAGGAAACGGAATTGAGGAAAGTCAGGGGTAGGAATGTCGTGGAAAAAGTGCAGAAAACACTGATGATAGTGTAGGGAAAATAGCAGAGGCAGAGGATGGATACTTCATAGGTAAGAGATGCTAAAGACTACCCATTTTGCTATTTTTCCTGATTTGTGCCTACGACACACCATTTATGCTGACCTAACAAACATTAAGGTATACTGATTGAGTTATTAAGTTATTAAGTCCATCAGTAATTCCTTCCCTATCCAATTTGGATTATAATCAGTGTGTAACTTATTCTACTATTCATTGATAAATGCTAACTCTGATTTTCAAACAATGTAATAAATGATGTTGGTAGAATCTGGGACCTCTGATGACCCAATGGACAAATGAAAATCTGCTTTTTAGAATGGCTGACCACAGAGCAAAGCTACCACTGCTCTAGCCTGTCGGGGCAAGGAGGGTTCTGAAATCAGAAATTTCTATCCATGTTCTACAAGTCAATATAACAACTGGAAAAAAATAATAATGATCATATTGTAACATGAACCAAGCTTACATGTGCCAAAAGTACATAAAAACACTTCAATTCTGCATGCATATTATGTTATATATAATAGTTTTAGGAATTACTACTCACTTGCGTTTGTTCTTCAGGAAGGAGATCAAATATAGCTTCATGCATTTTTGCCATTTGCTTACAAATATTCCTGAAACAGGCAGAAGGAACGGGAGCTTTCACTTCATACTGGCAGGGAAAAATAGTGAGAATTATATTCATGTCCTCTGTAATGTGTATTATCCCCACTGTTCCCTAAAACATATTATTTTCTGCCCTTACACATCTAACTCTGATAGAGTTGAAGCTTACACTTGAACTATATTTTGTGCGACTCATGCAAATCTTAAAAATTTTTCATTAAAAAATTCTAATCTACTTTGAGACAGCCAGCATAATTTAGTGGCTAAGAACACAGACTGCTTCCCTTCTTAAGATGGGCATGTGATATGCTACTCAGTCACGGTCTGACTCTTTGCAACCCCATGGACTGTAGCCCACCAGGCTCCTTTGTCCATGGAATATTCCAGGTCAGAATACTGCAGTGGGTTACCATTCCTTACTCCAGGGGATCTTGACCAGACACGGAACTTGCATCTCTTGCATCTCCTGCATTGATAGGCAGATTCTTTACCATGGTGCAACCTGGGAAGCCCTAAAGATGGACTGCTTGCGTTCAAATTCCAACTCTTAAAATTCTTAGCTATGTGAGACTGGGTGAGTTACTTCTCTGTATTAGGTGAGATATTTCTCTATATCTCAAAGGGCTTTTCCTGAGGATTTTAAAAGATGGTTCATAAGAACTCAAAACTGTGTGTGATACAAAGGAAGTACTCAAAAATATTAGCTACTATTCTGGCTCAATATAGAATAATGAATCATTAAAGTAGACCCTTCAAATTAAGTTTGTTTTTTAAACATGATTTTAAGAATGTGTTCAAAGTGGTCATATCTGAAATCAATATAACTGGTAGAACTAAAATGTTCTTTTTCTTTCGTAGGTGGGTCAATATTGTAATCATATTTATCCTAATTTTCAAGTATCTATACTAAAAATTTTTAATTAGGTAAATTCATTTATTATTCTTACATCTGGAACAGTACACTGGTATGACTGAGATAATCACATTCTGGCCCATATTATAGAGTTCACATTTTAAATTATACATCATTTTCACTTATAAGACAAATTTGGGCCAAATAACTATATTTTAGATGCACTAATCTTACATAGTTTATTAAAATGATGAGTTCCAATATACTGTGGTAGTAGAACCATGTAAAAGTTATCATGTGACTGGACCAAGCAACCTTGTGACCACTCAACGATCTGTCTCTCTTCAGCCTACAGTAAATCAAATATCCCCTTTTTTTTAATTAACACTTCTAAGATATAATTTGTATACCATAAAATTCACCCCTTTAAAGTGTACAATTAACTGCTTTTTAGTAAACTCATAGCTATACAACCATCACCACTAATTTACAAACACTTCCATCAACCCAAAAAGAAACCCCATATCCATTAGCAGGCACTCCCCATTCTTCCTTCTCCTCAGTTCCTGGCAACCACTAATCACTAATGGAATCATATAGCATATCGCTTTTGTGACTGGCTTCTTTCACTTAGCATGCTTTCAAAGGTTCGTCCATGTTGCATCAAGTACGTCATCCTTTTAGGGCTGTATGATATTCCATTGCATGAATAAATCATAGTTAATCTAGTCATCAATTAATAGACATTTGGGCCATTTCTACTTTTTGGCTATTATGAATAATAATGCTATGAACATTCATGTAGACAGATGTTATCAATTCTCTTGAAGTAGAATTACTGGCTCATATGGTAACTCCATGTTCAACCTTTTGAGGAAATGCAAAATGTTTTCCAAAGTGGCTGTACCACTTTACAGTTCCACCCAGCAATGTATGAGGGTTCCAATTTCTCCATATTCTCTCCAATACTTGTTACTGTCCTTATTTTAGCCATCCTAGTGGGTATGAAATAATCTCACAATGGCAAAATCCCCTTATCTTAACAACCCCCATGTCCTGGGTTGAATAATATCCCCCCAAGATTCATGTCCACTTGGAGCATCCTAAGGTAATACTGGATTGGAGTGGGCCCTAAATCCACTGACTTGTATTTTTATAACAGAAAGGAGAGGGAAACTTAGACATAGAAACACACAGAGGGAAGATGGTCATGTGAAGACAGAGGCAGGGACTGAAGTGATGGATCTACAAGTCAAGGAATGTCAACAACTGACAGCAAGCACCTGAAGCTAGAAAGAGGCAAGGAAGTTTTCTCTGTTAGAGCCTTCAGAGGAAGCATGGTCTGGGGACACTTTGATTCGGGATTTCTATCCTCCAAAAACTACAAGACAATGCACTTCTTGTTCTAAGCCCCTCACTCTGTGGGAATGTTATAGCAGCCCTAGTAAACTAGTATACCCCTCAAAACTTTCATTCATCACTGCTTTCCCTCAAAATAGTATTCTTTCTGTATGACTTTTACCATACATGGCTTCAATCATTTAAACTAGATACTGTACTTTTTTATTCTCAACCTTTAAACTTTGGTTCTTGCCACCATCCAAACAATCTTCCCTCTACCATAAACAACCTTCTGAAATTTCTCTCTGGAAAAAAATTACTAAAGAGGTCCTAATTTCCAAATTTACTAACTTTTTTAGTTCCCCTTCCTCATTTCTCTGCAGTATTTCACACAACCTCCCACTGGAAACGTCATCCTGGTGCAGGACAATGCTTTCCCAGTTCCTTCCTTCTAACCTTCCCTCTTCCAGCTCCTCCCAAGTGCAAAGCAACTTTAATATTAATCCTCTCTTATCTTCCTCACTTTGTTCTTGTCAGTGTTGTTCAATCCCATGACTTCCAATATATCTCTAGTTATGAACCACTTTATTACATGCTCCCCTTTATTACATTCATTACATACTCCAATCCACATTTGAGCTGACCATGAGCTTTCCCAAACCTGCTCTCTTACCTGTTTCAATCACTATTACCCATATTACCATCCTCCTGGTCACACAGACTTGAAATCTCCAACTTAAGTTTGTAACTCCTTCTTTTCTTTGTGTTCCTTGTATTGAATCAGTGACTAAGTCTCACCAATTATACTTTCAAATTATTTTACACATTAGTCAGTATTTTGAGCTAGATAATTTTTTGTTGTGGGGGCCGTCCTGCATATTGCAGGATATTCAGCAGCATCCTTAGTCTCTCCTCACTAATGACTAGTACCATCCCACACAAAACTGTAACAACCACAACACTGCCAGAGATAAAGTGCGGATGACAAACCAACACATGAAAAGATACTCAACATACTAGTCATTACAGAAATTAAAACCACAATGAGATATCACTCAATGCAGACCCACTAGAAGACTAATGTTAAAAAACAGACAACATAAAGAGCTGGTGAAGACAAAGAGTATCCAGAAGTCTTATACATCACGAAATTGTATAGTCACTTCAGAAAATCATTTGGCAGCTTTTTAATAAAGTTACCATAAAGTTTTACATTTCTGGCAGAGGAGGAGCTAAGATGGTGGAGGAATAGGATGAGGAGACCACTTTCTCCCCTACAAATTCATTGAAAGAACATCTGAACGCTGAGCAAACTTCACAAAACAACTTCCGACCGCTAGCAGAAGACATCAGGCGCCCAGAAAAGCAGCCCATCATCTTCGAAAGGAGGTAGGACAAAATATAAAAGATAAAAAGAGAGACAAAAGAGCTAGGGACAGAGACCCGCCCATGAAGGGAGTCGTAATAGAGGAAGTTTCCAAACACCAGGAAACCCTCGCACTGGCAGGTCTGGGGGAAGTTTTCGAATCTTGGAGGGCAACCTAACTGTGAAATAAAACCCATAGATTACATGCCTAAAAGCAACTCCCAGCAGAAAAGTACCCCAGACGCCCGCATCCGCACCAGCAAGTGGGGGCAGAACGGAGAGGAGCGGTCAGCATTGCTTAGGGTAAGGACCCGGCCCGAATGCCCTGAGGGCAATTGAAGGGAACTAACGTGAGATAGCAACTTAAACTGTGGGATAGCAAGAGAGAGAGAGAGAAAATTAACTGGCCCGAACACACTTCCGGTGGTTCGCAGAACAAAGGGACTGAGCAATTCCAGAGAAGAGCTAGAGGGCAGACCGGCCCATCCCCCGCCGGAGGCAGGAGGCAGGGGGGAGGGGAAAGGGGCAAACTCAGCCCCAGAAACTGCATCCCCTACCAAACTGCAAACACGCTTCCAGTCTCTAACCAAAGACTTCCTTGAGATTCTGGATGGTCGACATCCGCCAGGAGGGTCGCGGCTAGAGGCCAGCTCCCAAGAACAGACACAAGGCGCACCTGACCAGCGCGTGGAAACTGAGGCTGGGACCAAGGAGGGGATAAGGTGCATTGCACCCGAGGAGAGTGCGCCCGTCAAGTTCCTGGCTGCCTGAGCTGTTCCGGGGGCGGGGAAGGCACAAAACGCAGGCCCGCGCTTTTGTGGAATACCTGAAAACTGGAACCGCACGCAACGCAGGGCCCGCTCCATATAGAGCAGTCGGGAGCCTGAGCAGCGTAGACAGGGAAAGCACACACCCGTGAGCAGGGGCAAACCCAGTGTGGCCGGAACAATGCGAGTGCTCCCCACACAGGCCAGTGACATTTGTCTGCAGCGCACCTCTCTCCTGGCAGTACCACTGAACAAGAGACTACCTCTACCCGCCTGTCAGGGTGGAAATTAGACACTGAAGAGACTGGCAAACAGAAGCCAAATAAAGAGAACCTCTTCAGAAGTGACTGGTGCAACAGATTAAAATTCCTGTAGATAACACCGACTACACCGGAAGGGGCCTAGAGATATCGAGAAGTGTAAACTGGAACGAGGAGCTATCTGAAACTGAACCAAACCCACACTGACTGCAACAGCTCCAGAGAAATTCCTAGATATATTTTTACTTTTTTTTTAATTAAAAAGAAAAAAAGATTTCTTATTTTAAAATTTTTTCTCTTTTATTTTCTTTTAAAATTCCCTATTACTCCTCCATTACTCCTTAACTTTCATTTTCATTTTCACATATTTTTACTATTTTTTTAATTAGAAAAAAAATTTTTTTCTCTTATTTTCTTTTAAAGTCCTCTATTACTCCTTAATTTTCATTTTCATTTCAC